CCATCCCCAGAAACCGGGAAAAGTGAGAATAGTCTTCGATTGTGCATCAGCATGGAAAGGTTTGTCACTGAATGATGTGGTTAATCAGGGACCAGATCTGACTAACAAGCTGATCGGAGTGCTGTTGAGGTTTAGAACTGCGCCAGTGGCTTTGATGGCAGACATTGAAGCGATGTTTCATCAAGTTCGTGTGCCAGCGCCAGACCGAGATGTACTGAGATTCTTATGGTGGCCAACAGGTGACTTGAAGGAAGATCCATGTGTCTACAGAATGTGTGTGCACTTATTCGGTGGGACTTGGAGTCCCAGCTGCTGTAGCTATGCCTTACGACGCACAGCTGAAGACAACAAGGGTGAATTCTCTCCTGAAGCAGTAAAGGCAGTGACTAGGAATTTCTATGTGGACGACTGCTTAATCTCCACTAAGGATGAGGAAGATGCCATACGACTAGCACAAGAATTGAAAGGCCTGCTAGAGAAGGGAGGCTTTAACCTGATCAAGTGGACAAGTAACAACCGCAAAGTTGTGGAAGCCATCCCAGTGGAGGATAGAAGTAAACAAGTTAAGGACTTAGATCTTAGCAAGGAAGCACTACCAGTTGAAAGAGCCCTGGGGATCAAATGGGATGTGCAAGAGGACCGTCTAGAGTACAAGACATTGATAAAGGAGAAACCACTGACAAGAAGGGGTTTGCTTAGCATTGTGTCAAGCATTTATGACCCGCTTGGCTACCTGAGTCCCTTTATCTTGAGAGCTAAGCTGTTGATGCAGAAGTTAGCAACAAAGAAGTTAGGATGGGATGACCCAATTCCAGATGTTGGACTGCAGTTATGGCAGCAGTGGGTAAAGCAACTTCCTGAAGTAGAAAACTTCAAGGTGCCAAGATGTGTGGTTCCTGCAGGATATGGTGCCAAGACAGAGCATCAGTTACATCACTTTGCTGATGCATCCGAAGATGCCTATGGAGCGGTGACATACCTGGTGGTAAGGAACTCTAAAGGGCAAGTCTGTAGCAGTCTTGTCTTTGCCAAGTCTCGCCTCGCTCCAGTGAAGAAGACTACGATTCCTCGTCTCGAATTGATGGCTGCTACTGTTGCGGTGAAGTCAGATGTCTTAGTGAGGAGAGAACTGGATCTACCACTAAAAGACTCTGTGTTCTGGACTGACAGCATGATTGTATTGGCATACATTAAGAATGAAGACAAAAGGTTTCACACCTTTATTGCCAATAGACTGTCTATGATTCACTCTGCCAGTGATGTAAAGCAGTGGCATCATGTCAACACGAAAGAGAATCCGGCTGATGACGTCAGTAGAGGCATGAGTGCTAGGGATCTCGTGGCTAGTGAGAGATGGCTTCATGGGCCAAAATTCATCCTGTTGACTGAAGAGCAGCAGAGCCAAGATCCAGAAGCTGATGATATCCTACTAAACGATGATCCTGAAGTAAAAACTGTGAAGGCTTATGCCGCTGAGACTGATGTTGATGTACCAATTGCGGCTACTGATGAACTGTTGAGCTACTTTTCAGATTGGTGCAAACTAAAGAAGGCAGTAGCTAGAATCTTGCAGTTTCGGGGATATCTTCTGTGCAAGGTGCGGAAGGAGGTATTTGACTGTAAGGTGCTTCTTACAGTGGATGACATGAGAGAGGCTGAGCAGGCAATCCTGAAATATGTTCAGCGCCTGGCATACCCAGCTGAATACCAGGCAATTGAGGAGAAGCCAGCCTTGAATGGAAAGCAGAGGGCTAGTAAGTTGAAGAAGTCCAGCCCTCTCTATAAGTTAGACCCTATGATGAGCAGAACTGGGTTGCTGTGTGTTGGAGGCCGCCTTAGGAATGCAGAGCTGAGTGACGAGATGAAGCATCCCATCATCTTACCACCCAAGCATCACGTGGTAACACTGTTAGTGAGACATGTTCATGACATGGGACATTTAGGCAGAGAGCATGTCCTATCGATGCTGAGGCAGCGATTCTGGTTGATCAGAGGGAGGTCTACTGTGCGACAGGTGAAACGGGACTGTTTTAAGTGTAAACGCCTGTCGTCTCCAACTCTCGGGCAGAAGATGGCTGATTTACCTAGTGATCGTGTGGCGTTTGACAAGCCACCATTTACTAATGTTGGAGTGGACTGCTTTGGCCCTTATCTTGTCAAACAGGGCAGAAGCCAAGTGAAGAGATATGGCTGTATCTTCACTTGCCTATGTGTGAGAGCCGTACACATAGAGATCTTGCATTCTATGGACACTGATTCATTTCTGAACGCTCTTCATCGATTCATGGCTCGCCGTGGAAGACCAGAGCTCATCAGATCTGACAACGGCACGAATTTCGTCGGAGCAGAGAGAGAGCTGCGAGAGGGGTTAAGTAGATGGAACCAGCAGAGAATTCATGACCATCTACTCCAGAAAGGCATTGAATGGAGGTTTAACCCACCAGCGGCCTCGCACATGGGTGGATGTTGGGAACGCCAGATAAGAACGACGAAGAAGGTGCTCGGTGCCTTGATGAGACAGCAAGTGCTGTCTGACGAGAACTTATCAACGCTGATGTGTAAGGTGGAGTCCATCATCAACGGGCGCCCTCTGACGGTAGTGTCGGATGATGCGGTGGATCCAGAACCCCTCACTCCGAATCATTTGCTCCTGCTGCGGGGTAATGGTACTGGGCCGCCTGACCTCTTCGAGGCACGAGATGTCTATAGCAGGCGACGATGGAGACAGGTTCAGTACCTTAGTGACATTTTCTGGCAGAGATGGAGGAAAGAGTATCTTCCTACACTCCAAGCGCGACAAAGGTGGAACGAGCGTGAGCGTGATGTTAGCGTGGGTGACATCGTTCACATCATGGAAGAAGCACCACGAAACCACTGGGCTGTCGGTCGCGTTGTAGAGATTTTCCCAGGCAAGGATGGGCTAGTTAGGTCAGTTAGGGTGCAAACCAAATCATCGACCCTTGTTAGGCCAATTCATAAGCTGTGTCTTTTGGAATCAGTGAATCATAGATAGGTATATTCTATCCCCAGATAGGTACAAGTTTTACCCCTGTGTTTGTTTCTTAGAGCACTCTATTTGACAGAACTGAACTTCGATAGAGAGACATTTCAAGATGAATAGACATTTTGACAAATGAACAGAGAAATCAAAGTACAGTTTACACCATGGACTGTTATTTGAAAGGACTAATAATTCTGCATAGAGTGGACTCATTTATTACTCTGAAAAAGGACATTTCAAGTATTCACCTGTATAGCAGGCTAGTGGACTGGTTGCTTAGCAACAGGAGCCTTATTGGACTCTTTTTCGTACAGACAACACATCAATATCAAATTTATGTATCGATGTGCATGTATATTGTTGTGATGTTTGTTTTATATACATGTATTAACATTATTCAACAGGTTGTTTTCAAGATAGAAATCACTATTTTATCATGCAATTGCATTTTGTGCAGAGATTTACTTTCTAAAGAGGGAGATTATTTTAAAAGGAGATGAGAATTGATCAATATTGATGTTTTCTGACATTGCAAGAAATTGCTAAACTATGGGATTCTTAGGAGTAAAATATTTGAGAATATGGAATTTTCTTTAGATCTGTGTTGTCTTCCAGTATATACACATTTACTGCAAACAAATTAACATATTGATAATGTGTTTCAGGTACAAGTAAAGACAGTCATGTGTAACAGAGCATTTAAATTGTCAAAATATTTTTTTTTTTTTTTGATATATGATGTTATAAATGATTGCCTTTAGCTCACATTTAAGGGGCCGGTATGTTACTGACAGGAAGTTTTCTCCTGTGTTGATAAAATCATGTAACGATAAGTTGGGAAATGCTGACGTCATAGACGAGGCTTTTGGGGGAATTGACATGTATTTGACTATTGAGGGCGTTTCTTCGCATGCCACTGATTTTCCTTGTTTGGAACGGTCTGACGACCGTGAGGTTGTGATGATAAATTAATTCTTTTTGATGAGCCCTACGTTGTAAGTAGACAATTACATTGCTATTCCTTTAAAGAGTTGTTGAGTGATAATCAGTGATAATTTCTATTAATTATGTTGATGGTTAGTGATGTAAATTTGTTGCGAAAGATTTGTATTGAAGTACGTAATGTAGCAGTGGTATACATAATACGTGCAAGTAATGCATGCATGCACTGTACACGTTTAGTGACCGGAAGTAGTCACGCCTCTTTTGTTAGTTGACAGATTATGAAGTGAGCCATGATAAATAAGGCTGTATGATAGCTGAAGCATATTATTTCTTACAAGGTTGATATAAATGTTCAAGCTGGTTATTAGTGATGAATAATAAATAAATGTCTCATTTAGGGAGATAAAAGTTAGGCTTTGAATACATTGTTTATAAGTATTTTGCTAAGCTAAACTTGGGCCTTGTGTTGTGAAATTAGGGTTTTGAGAGCATTGCTTTGACCGGTTATTGTTTACATATTTGAAAGTCAGTGCTAGGATAGAAGCAAGCAAGCCTTTTGTATCAAATAATTGTATTTAAGATCAGATATTGTTTCAGGAGAGGTTTTTGGATATGACACAAATAATTGACACAAACAAGTTAATTCATATTCAGTGATGCATTTATTGATTGAGACCAGACAAGATGGATAATTATTGTAACAATAATGTCATTGATAAGCATGTGTACATGTATTCCAGTATTGATTGGATGTTTCCTTTATTTGTTTTGTTCAATTACAGATTGAACCGTGCTGATACGTGCTGAAGTATCTTGACAGCGTGGTCTCATACTGGGTTTAGAACTTTGTGTCCTGCTTGATTATTTATCGTCACAGTGTCCCCAACACTAAATGTTCAAATATTTATACACGAGTACTCTATGGAGAAGTGTAATCATAGAACTTATATCAAGCAAAACAAATCTTTCTCCTCAGTTTTACAATTTCTATTTTTTTATTTTAAAGAATTGTATCTTTAGACTTGTTTTGATCAAAGGTGTCAGATGTACTTACATGTAGAGAATTAGAAATTTACATCACTGATATCAGGGAGTTGCAAAAAAATACACCTCGGAACTCCTCCAAACAACTGGTATCCAAGACTAGAATAGAACAATAAATGTTTTAGCAGACAGGCACACAAACAGGATAACCAACTCAATGGGGAAAGAAAAGAAAGAAATTCTGCTATCAATTTACCTCTTACATAATAGGGTACCCAGTTTATCTTGGGGGCCATTATCAGTAGATTACCCTGACCCCCAACTGACCTCCTAAATGTGCCTGGTAAGAAGACCCTGGCAATCAAAAAAGAGGAGGGCTTGTTGGAGGAAGGGGGAACCATAGACGTCTATGGGGGAACACAGCACGCCCCTCTACCCATGGTACTGGGTGGGAAACGTGACCCTCTTGAACCAACAAGAAACTCCGAGGTAAGAAGGCCTCCGCCCTTCAAAATTCTTCTTCTTGCATAAGTTGGGATCTCAAAATAGATTCTTCTTGTTATCACTGCCCTGATATATTCAGCAAACTGGCCAAAGATAAGAAACCAATTATCTTGACTGGATAAAAGACTTCCTTCATTTTATTAACTACATGTAGCCTATAGGCTATAGGCTATAGGCTATACATGCAACTCAACGGAGATTCGACCACTCCATTTCCCTTTCAGAGAAAATTTGAAAGGTAACACCACAAATACACCCATATACACCCATAAAGGAAGATTATTTCATGAACTGTTATGATTGAGGGGGTACATTTATACTGTTTTCAGTATTCTAAACATTTTCATCAGAAAAAAAATCAAGTCCATGAAGCACCTCACAGTGACATCACAGTGACATCAACAATGTAATTGTCCACCTGAAGAGACCACAACAGGAACTCATACATCATGCTACACACCATGTTCTAGAAAATAAAAGTCATGTGCCCTGACTTTATTCCCTCTCTCCCTTTCTTTAGGCCCCAATGTCCAGTTTTTTTTATTGCTCCACAGGAGCTAAAACCATGGGAGGTGAGGAAACTGAAAATTCCAACCAATTTGCGGTTTTGAGCAGCTCAAGGTTTTTTTTAAACCTTTACTTACTGGACATTCAAAGTATAACCAGAGAGTTGGAAAAGAGAGAACAAGAGAAAAAGAGAAAGAGAGAGAGAGAGAGAGAGAGAGAGAGAGAGAGAGAGAGAAGAGGAGAGGCAGTTTTATACCTGTAGGGAATAATTTTCCAAAAATCTCTTTTATGTGACAGAGCATGAGGGAAGGAAAAATCTCTTTTTTTTTCTAGTCATTATTTCTCAGTTTGGAAGTCCTAAAAAAACACAAAGAATGTTCTTTAAAATATCAAGGGGTCAATATCTTGAGAGTCACTGGCATTTTAACAGTCCTTGACAAATGTACTAGTAATACTGTGTCATGAGGCCTGCCCTCATCAGCTCGAGTTTGCCAAATAACCCGCTTTTCAGACTCTGGATATTATCCCGAAGCTTAAAATTACATCTTCACCAGACTGATATGCTCATCACAAACTAGCTCGGACGGGCGCAAATTAGCCCGCTATTTCCCAAATAGCAGGATATTTTGGAAACAAGACCAAGATTTCTCAGGATATTTTCTTGACCAAATATCATGCTAATTGCAACTGCGGGCTGATGTGGATGCACATTAGCTGGATAATTTGCAATAGAGATAGTTAAAATAGTGGGTTATTTGGCAAACTCAAGCTAATGGAAATAGGCTTGTTGACTAGTCTGTGAGATGAAATTGAAAGAAACATCAGCTAAATGAAAGATAAACTCCAGTACTGGTAAAAAAAAAAAATTAAAAAATTCTCACAGAATCAAACGAAACTTACACTGAATGTTCAAGATTAAAAATAAATGACATGTGCCAAACAATTTTGGAAGAAAATGTATACTGGCTGAGTAATGAGCATAGAAAGACAAGGAAATCAAGGTAGTACTAGCCCCGACACCATGTGTGTTGTCCCATATATAGCTTTCTATGTGAGTGCTTGTTACTTTACCAAGACTCGGTCAAATTTATTATGATTTTGATGACTCCAGAACCTTGCAGTGCACACCAATACTTACATGCTACATGATCAACCGTTTCTGATCCTTTCCACACCTTTTCTTTCACAATGCAATCGCATTACCAGTACTAAAGTTTATCTTTAAGTTTGGAGGAAGTTTATGAGCTATCTTTAATGTGCTCTTTAAGATGCAAGCATGTATGTACAGGCATAGTGTGTGTTTTTTTTTTAATTGGACCCTCATTAAAAAAGTTGAAGGTTTGTTTGAGTCTTTGCTTGGTCAAGTTGGTGAGACATGTAATATTGAGTGCCCACAACTCCTTGGTATAACCAAACAGATAAAATATGGCCATGGACCTACGTGTTATGACAGTCACATGATCAAGTTGTCATTTGCCTCCAATATACAATAATACATGTACATACATGTGTTGGATTCTGAAAGTTGAAAGTTGAATTGATGTTCATGTCACTAAAACTGTACACATTGATACATAAACTCATTCATTTTCTAATCAAACTATCAGATTTGTTAGTTTAATTTTGTTTGTTGTATGTTTGCTGTTTCATTAGTCTTAGAACTAATTTGAAATTAAAATTTTATAGCGTTCAACCAACTCCTCTACCAAAACGTTTCTGATTAAACATTTTATTTAAAGAAAACTGGCCAGAAATTTGAATTACAGTGACAAATCAATTAGTAATTAACTGCATCATCATATATCATGAAAATATCTGATTGTGTATGCTACACACAACACTCATAAACAGACGACAATCCCATCAGCTGGACACACAAGACTAGCAAAACATGAGCCCATTCATGATTTTGGTTTTCAACCTTTCACCCCCCCCCCCACCCCCTTTTCCCTCTGTCTCTCTGTCTTTCTCTCTCTCTCTCTTTCTCTTTCTCTCCTTCACTGACCAGAGACCTTGAGCCCACCCAGATGGTCAGCAAGAATGTAGGAAGAGCTGAAGAAAGGAATTTATATGACTGGACATTTGATAGAGGTGCTATTCAAATCAGAAGTTTAGTTTCATGTAACAGAACATCAATGATTTGTGGAAATACATTCATATATGTTCATTCATGTAAATGAGCTTTCAATAATTAAAACTACAAGTGTATCACCCTAACAGTTGATTTTCAAAATTTATACAAGTTAACCTAGCAGCAAGCTATTACATTCACATGTTAATATATCTTTGTATCTCAATAGTCAAAATGCAAATTGCATACATTAGTTGTTGCTAGGTTGGACAAATAATTATTGGATTTCCCTACCTAACAACATGTAATATTTGCAATTTGAATACTGACTAGTGAAATACAATTATTTGTAACAGGTGAATAAAATAATTATATGATTGTCAAGGCACTTCATAAAGACCTATGCGTCAAATTTGATTACATTACGAAAATGGCCTATTATCACAGCATGTGCATTCAAAGAAAGGAAACACAGAGGAAAGCAATGCAAGCATGAATTCATTGCCTTCCATTGTCTGCTAATGAAGAAATGGACAAGGGTGAGGGGGAAAAAACCTGACAGAGAGCATTGTCTTGTGAAAACAATTTAATTCTGAGCTTCGGTAGTGTACGTCTATGTTGTCATAGCAACCAGAAGCTGACCGACGGATCCAGCTTTGGATGCAGTCCACAGGATGACCAATCATTAATCTTGTACATTGCAGATAATGAACATATGCATGAAACCTTTAAAAGCTGGCACTTGTATTTGACTTTGCATTTTTTTTAATGGTTGTATATGACTTGCTAATTGAAGTCGTTTGTAGCCTTTGTACGTCTTCCCAGGTCGACTGGCCGAGTACACAAAGAGTTAATTTCACGTATATAGCATTAAGCCTACTATTTCATTCATATTAAATCCCCTACTTTACATCTGTTCTGTCTTCTAATAATCAAAATATGATTCTCTCATTTTAAACCAAGATAATCGTCAGATAACATTCAATTTCGTGACCAAGATATACTATTGGATAAAAATGCATTGAAATCAAGAGATCTTACAAACTCTAAGACAAACCTCAACATATAAAATGGCTCTTAATATTCAATCACACCTACAGCATCAAAATACATTTCTTTAAAAAAAATACTGCTCATACAATGTTTGTTTTTCTCTAATCAGAAGCACATTTTCCCAGCAGTCAAGTAAACCAACAATTAAAGAGAAGGTTGAGTTCTGGGAAGAGGTGAAAAATAAATTGTGAGCATTACTCATTCTTATTATGCAAGTGTGGAAGAACATCAGTTAAGACATGTTCCCTGAAAAGCATGGCTCTTCAAATGCCTTCATATTCTAAATATGCATGTAACATCGTAAAAATCGGGAGGGGGGGGGCCGGCTTTTTACGCCACGTGTTCGTGTAGTCCCATATACATCTTTCTGTGCAAGTGTTTGTAACTTTACCAAGACTTGGCCACATTTCTTATCATTTTGATGATTCCAGAACCTTGCAATACACACAAATTCTTATATGCTAGATGATCAACCTTTTCTGGTTGGTTCCACACCGTTTCTTTCACAATGCAATCGCATGACCAGAACTCAACTTCATCTTTAATGTTTTATCCTATACATTCACAAATGCCCCTGATAAAAATTATGTAGGCTCTGTAGATAGCAATCATACTATCATAGCACCCAAAATTGAAGAAAATATGCAAGGTCGAGGGTGGGTTACAAGTAATGTAAAAACCAAAAACTTTTGCAACATTAATCTTCTTAAAAAATTGATAATGGCAAATGGTTTTGTAAGCAGGACATTTTTTCAGTATTGAGACTCAATATTATTGGAATGAAACTTTTGCAAATCCAGACCATTCACCAAACTAGTGAATATTTTTTGTAATAAATCATATACATTTTAGAAGAGTCAAGTACCAAGTGTACTCTACCATAAGCAGTTATGTAATAATCCAGGGTATTCTCAGTAACTATATCATACAACCTTGGTAAACAATAGTATATAGCTACTAAAGGTTACTGGTACCAATTGGAAAGGTGACATAATAGGCACAACCACATGGTAAAAATCTTATTTCTACCACCTACCCCCACACATTGCGTCCCTATTTTCACGAAGTGACGGTAGTGAATGGAAATCGCATTCAATTTGCATGCAGATTTTCCTCACTACCGTCACTTCGTGAAAACAGGAACGATTTGAAGACTGAGAATTCAAAAAAATTCAATGTTAGTC